GAGCCAGGCGACCATGAAGCTGACCAACTTCAAGGCTGGGCAACGGCTAGCGTGTTCGAACCTCGAACTTGTCTTTCTATGCCTTCCTCCGATCTGCGACACGGGTCTTGTTCAGGTGACGTAGTGCTTATCGATCTCTCCCTAATAACTGAATAAGTTGATCGAATGGAGGGCTTCAACGCCCGGGCAACAACCACCTCAACGAAATCCATTTTGTCCTCCTGATCTGTTTTTGTACATTGGCTCCAGATATCTGCTGTATAGTCCATTTGGGTTTCTGGAGATGAGTGCTTTACTGTTTACCTGTTCGATTTAGGTAATCCTCGATTCCCCTAAGTATACGTACCATATTTCACGTATTTTAAATCTCCATATCACATTCAAATGAGTTTGTCCAGAAACAGTTTACCTTATGGACTCCTTTTGCGAATTTCCGGTGATGCTGCAATTGGGCAATAATAGTCGATATTCAACTTAATGTCTCAAAATTTGTGTTCGAAACTGCCGCTCAGTACCAAACGATTCAGTTATTTGCCCTGACAAACTCAAAAGTCCCCTTGAAAAAATCTATTACGCGTTTGTGCTATTTTTACCATTTATTGGGAACAAAAATAGATTGTTCCTTTACCTTATACATATCCGAGAAACAACAGGATCAGCAAACTCACTTTATCCAGACTGAGCAGCTTTTCCTGACGCTCTTTCAATGCGGCCATTTTTTGATGTTCCCATAGATAGGCAGTTGTCTCCTGACTGTAGAGCGTAGAGTGAATATTCTTATGTGTACCTCGCAATTGTTCCATTCGTGCGCGCTACACGTGAGTGAAGTATGGAGAAATTATGAGTGGACGGGGAATGACAGTACTGACTATCACACAAACGAAAAGGGGATCACAGTTTTGCAGAAAAAGGCTTTTTCTGTTTGAAAGCCAATCTGCTACACATGTGGCGGCAATGGTCGAATAGAAAAACGTCATTCAAATAGCAACATATAGGTTCTGAGTTCGAATTCCACTATCGCCACTCAGCGCGCAAATCCCTTAAACGCCAGCTCATCAACAGTCTGAGGAATGACCGCGAGAAGTGGTGGGTAGAAAAGTATAAAGAGATGGAGAAAGCTGCGGCTATTGGTAATATTCGTAACCTTTTCCATCTAATTAGGAATACGGGTTTTAGGAAAATAGGCGTAAGTGAGGTAATTAAGGAATCCGATGGCACACTGATTCACGATCAGCAACGCCGTCTTGACCGTTGGGATCAACATTTCAAGGTTCAGTTCAACTGGTCCCCATCGACATCTTACCTTTGACTCTCCGCCTCGACTGGACAAATACTCCCAGTTGACGTTAGCCCTCCATCTGAAATGGAGGTATCTCGGGAAATAAGTTATCTCAAAAGGCATAAGGCCTCTGGCCCAGATGGGCTGTTCCCATCTGCGTTTAAGGATGGTGGCGCAGCGTTAGTCTTGGAGCTGACAAAACTCCTGGACTCAATATGAGAAAGAGAGGAGGTTCCAGCTGAATGGTGTGAGTCGGTCATCATCGATTTACAAGAAAGGTGATAGATCATCTTGTGAAAATCATAGAGGAATAAGTTTAATTAACATAGTCTCTAAACTTCTCGCTGACATCATACTCCGCCGATTGTCTGTCGCACGCGAACGGTGCACGCGTGACAACCAGGCTGGTTTTAGACCCGGTCGAGGCTGTATCGACCACATCTTCACTTTGCGCCAAATTCTGGAGCACCGGCATTCTTTTCGTAGACCCACCATCTCTGTCTTCTTAGATCTGAAAGCGGCTTTCGACTCAGTCGACCGCTCTAAACTCTGGCGCTACCTTTCCCTGAAAGGTGAGCCCGATCGCTTTATACTAATAGCCGAAGTCGAGTCCGGGCTTACAGCACTTTTTTGCCCGAGTTCACCACGGAAAGTGATGTTCGTCAGGGTTGCCCTCTTTCTCCATATCTATTTAACTTTGTTATAGATCTGATTATGGA